GCCGCTGCCCGCGGCCCCCGCGCTCCCGGGACGGGCTCCCGGGCGGGGCAGGGACCCCGCTGTGCGAGGGGTGGCGCTGCACGCGCTCCCGGGATCCCGAGCCTGTTCGCTCGGGGATCTCACCTTGTCTGTCGCAAGAGACTCAGACCCTGTCCAACAGACCGGAACCTCCTCACAGTAGCAAATGACAGTTTGGTGGTTTGGGATTTTTTTGGTTTTTTGTTTTTTCTTTTAAAAGGACTAGGGAGCCAGCCGACTTTAGGACTCGCGAAATGGAGAAACTGGAGGGGGAAAATTTTTAAATTTTCTTTAAAAAACTAAAAATTGTGACCTCTTGGCCGGAGAAAGCGAACATGGAAAAGGAGAAGCAGCCGGATGGGGTGGGATGGAAGGTCAGAGGGTGATGAGGCACGGACAAAAGAGAGGAAGGGAAACCTGAGGGCCCTGCACCTAGGAGGAACTGCGGCTCCGGAGATGGGGCCTCGGGGGTCAACCCATTCTGACTAACCCTCCAGATGTTTAAAAGCAGGGCCCTCAGCTCCGAAAATAGACTCTGGCTGCCTTTATATTCAGACTTCAAAGCCGATATATTGAAATGAGGGTTAATTTTCCCATAGCATTCTGGAAATTTGCACACAGGAGAAGAAATGACCGGTTATAATGCTCTGCAGAAGAATCCTGGAGGTGGATGTTGATTTAATACCTATTGCCTAAAATCCCCCTTGGTATTCAAACACTTTCAGAGTGGCTGGTTTTTATTATTTGTGAGACTTGCTTCATTCCATTTTGTTTAAATGTTTTATTGGAAGCCAGCAGTGATTTCTTTAGTTTAAGACTCTAAAAATAATCGAATCTGTTTTCTTTTCTAGTCAGGCCTTAGCAGATTATAAATAAGAAGAAAAGAAACAAAAACCTCCGAATGTATTGATCTGAGTGCTGAATAATACTCTCATTCCTCAAGGTGGGTATTAGCCCTATTTTTCTAGATAAGGAAACACTGTTGCTATTGCAGTGGCTGTTAAGTAATAGTTATGTTACAAACCAAGGTTTATCTGATTACTATGCCCCTATTCCTCCCTCTACACATTTAAAAAAAAAAAAAGTGGGGGGAAAAAAATCCCTAAATGGTGATCAATGTTCATAGCTCTTTCACTGTGATCAATATTTCAGGGGCTCTCCTCTGCCCAGGATAAGCAAAACAACCCACTGAGTCAGAGAATAGTGGAAGACAGTATGGAGGCCATGAAGCAGTACTATTTAATAGTTAAGATAGATGGGGAAATCTTTTTAACCTTACTTATTTAGTACTAAACATAATTTCAGACAAAAGAAAAATAGCTTGTAGCTGGAAGGCATCTAAGAAACCTTTACTTTTTAATACCGAAGAGGAAATAGAGACTGGGAGTTTAATAACTTGTTAGAGATCGTACACGACTACAGTGAAATGTCTTAATTTTTGTCTTTGATGTTTAGAATTGTCTTAAGGCCTCTTAAAAATTCCTTAAGGTAGTACATTTCACAAGATACTTTTGCGTTTCCTCATTTTAATGTTTTAACTCATTTTAACTTCTCTCATTTTTTTCTTTGTCTTCTTGAGTACACTTCCCAGTTCAGCTTACACATTCTGTCTTGGCTCTTCTATATAATATTCCACATTAATTAATTATACAAAGATTTTGAAAATTAATAGTCTTATTTTTATTTGAATTTACAGTCAGTATAATTTACCACCTACACTTTTTACCAGCCCTTACCTAGTCCACTTATATTTCATGGCAGCTTCTGATGTTTTTTGCTCTTTTTTTGTCTTAGTTCATTCAGGCTGCTATAACAAAAATACCATAGACTGGGTGGCTTAACAAACATTTGTCCCTCACAGTTTTGGAGACTGGGGACTCCAAGATTCAGTGTCCAGTAAAGGCCCACTTTCTGACTGACAGACAGCCTTCTCACTGCATCCTCACATGGCCAAAGGGGGCGTGGGAGATTTCTAGGGTCTCTTTCATAAGGGCACTAATCCCATACATGAGGGCTCTGCCCTTAAGACCCCATGGAATACCATCACATTGGGGATAAGAATCTCAATGTATGAATTTGGGGAAGAAACAAATATTCAGTTCATAAGAACTTTTCAATTGTGTGGCATATAAGTACATCAAATAATCGCTAAACTATTGCAGTAGTTCCCCTTATTCGTGGTTTTGCTTTCTGTGGTTTCAGTCACCCAACATCAACAGAGATCTGAAAATATTACATAGAAAATTCCAGAAATAAGCAATTCATCAGTTTCCAGTTGTGTGCTCTGTCCCACCAGGCAACTCATCCCTTTGTCCAACATATATATGTGTGTATGTATTGCCCTCCTGTTAGTCACTTAGCAGCCATCTAGGTTATCAGATTGTGACTGTATTGCAGTGCTTGTGTTCAGGAAACCCTTGTTTTACTTAGTAATGGCCCCAAACTGCTGGCAATTCAGATGTGCCAAGGAGAAGCCATAAAGTGCTTCCTTTAAGTAAGAAGGTGAAAGCTCTTAACTATATAAGGAATGGAAAAAAAAATCGTATACGAAGGTTGCTAAGATCTATGGTAAGAACGAAACCTCTATCCCTGAAATCGTGAAGAAGGAAAAAGAAATTTGTGCAACCTCTATATAGGTTTTGACACTATCGCAGTTTCAGGCATCCACTAGGGGTCTTGGAAGGTATCCCCTGAAGATAAGGGGGGACTACTGTATTTTCAAAATTACTTCCTCTTCCATTGTCAATATAGTATCAGGTCCAAACTCGCCTTTTTATAGAGCAGTCACCTCTAGTGAAGGCTGAGTATATTTTCCTAAGAGTTGCTAGGATTTCATTTATAAGCTGTCACGATGCATAAGCATAGTTATTGAAAATCTAAGCTTCTGCAGCATTACCTTGCTTGTGTTGACTTTAAATTTCATCCATCATTGTATTATTCCAAGATCCTGATAGAACAATCTGGAATTCTTTCAGTTTTTCTCTAACCTTCATTATCAGATAGTTGTATGCTCATAAAAATGCTAAAATCTTATGCATACTTTTTAATAATTTTCTCACAAAGAAAAACTAGTGATATAGCTTCACAGAATATTAAACATTCATCTACATTTGTTGTTTGTTTTGCCCTTAGTTTCCTGGTGTTTTAAAAATCCATATCAATGTGTTGCTTCCTTCACCCCTCCCCTGCCCGCCCACTCTTTGGCAGTTAAACCAGAGATAATAAGTGAAGTGTTGGCATCTAAATCAAATCATGTCTTTAGTTTTTATCTCTTTTATTTATTTCATAAAAAAACAAAAACAAAAACTAATGCTTCAAACAATACCAACGCTTGTCTAGACTCTCATTGCCTATAACAGCATTGTCATAAAATTGTCAGTGGGGCCCCCTAAGAATACTGACAATCTCCTGCTCTCAGAACTGCTCTCGGGGGAGAACAGAAGAGCAGAGGAGTCCTACAACATGAATTATCATATTTTTTATAAGCCTTTCTTCCCTCTAGGTGCTCATCAAGCTCATCTAAATGCATATGCTTAATCATATCTATGCAAACCCATACATACCAATCCCGAGGACATAGGCTTAGGATAGTTTATTTTCCTATAAACCAACATACCCTGACAATCTAGATTTGCTTTAAGAAGCACAAGTAAAGTAAAGCTTCCTATGCCATAGGGTTCATGGGTAACTCACTAGTCAGTCAAGCATGCTGATGTCCTGCCACTGGGGTTCCAGTAACTTCTGCCTAATGCAGCAGACTTCCTACTCTTTCACTTCTCCAAAGTGTTTCAATCTCTTGCTTTTATACCCCATTCTCTCACTCAACTAAACTAACTGTCTGGGTGTCTCTTGATCACAGCGTTGCATGAGAAAAGACTGGGAAAACCAGAATGCTTAGCTGGGAGTAGTACTAACATTATTGTATATAAATATCCAAATACTACCCGGTGGCTACCAGTAGGACCAGACAGCAGTAACACAAAGACAGAACACACATCCTAGAGAGGGTCTTAAATCTGTCAACACAGACATTTTCAAGACCCACTTGGGATAAAAGCAGACTGTCTTAGATACATGATGTCCCTTTCTATATGATAATCCCCCTCAGCATAGTCTCATTCTTTCTAGGCTTTTAAAGAACTTTTTAAAAATGTCTTTGTTGTAGTGTTTACTGTTGCATTATGCTTTATATTTACATGGCTGTCTTCCCTGTTAAACTGTGAACTCCTCAAAGGCAGGGATATTTTCTTACTCCTGCCACATACTAGGTGTTGAACAGACATTTGTCAAATGAATTGAGTGTAAAATAATGCCTGTATACAAGAACCATTTATGATTTAAGTAACTCTTTAGCCTAAAAATGAATCGTGAGTTTTGTTTTAATTTAAGTGTATGCGTTCTTTAATTGTACTATTTCCATTTGCTTTATACCTTAATGCTGACTACAAAAATGAACTTTTTTTTCCTTTGGTTCCTTTCATTTAGAAAATTTTCATTCTCTACAAAATAACTAACCTTTAAAAATTTTTCTCTAAATAAGGTGACCAGAAAATCAATAACATAAGTTCAAGGGTACTTATTTATTTTATTAATTACTCAATTTTTTATCACCAGGATTGTTTTTGAAATATAAGTGGTGCTTGCTCGCCCCCTAGTGGGGAATCTATTCGGCAGTACAAATTCCACAAAGAACTT